CCCGCCGTTTACCCGCGCTTGGTTGAATCTCTTCACTTTGACATTCAGAGCACTGGGCAGAAATCACATTGCGTCAACATCCGTTGGGACCATCGTCATGCTTTGTTTTAATTAAACAGTCGGATTCCCCCTGTCCGCACCAGTTCTGAGTCGGCAGTTTGATGCTTAGGGAGAGTCCCACGGCCCCACCTGAAAGGTGGGGACATAAGACATTCTACGCCCATCGGCACACTGGCACGAGGGCTCCGCCCTCGCCTCGAGAGCAGCTCAGGCAGACCACCGGCAGCCAACGACATCGAGGCGCAAACCCCTAGGCCCAGCCCTCAGAGCCAATCCTTTTCCCAAGGTTACGGATCCATATTGCCGACTTCCCTTACCTACATTCTTCCTTTGACCAGAGGCTGCTCACCTAGGAGACCTGATGCGGTTATGAGTACGGTCGGGCGTGATAGGTACCCGCGGCTCCAAATTTTCAAGGGCCGTCGAGGGCGCGCTGCACACCACAGGACGCACGGTGCTTTGCCGAGTGCTGCACCCTATCTGCGATTGATCTGATTCCAGGGTGGGTGAGCCGTCAAGAGGGAAAGAGAACCCTCCCCACCGCCCCCGTCGGCATCTCCGAAGCTGCTACGTTACCGTCCACCTCCACAACCTGGTTCGGGAATATTAACCCGACCCCCTTTCGATGTGCGGYGCGCAGTGCGCCCTTGATACAAGGTTTCCACATCTCTTAGGGTCGACTGACCCATGTCCAAGCGCTGTTCACATGGAACCCTTCTCCACTTCGGTCTTCAAAGTTCTCATTTGAATATTTGCTATTAAGACCAAGATCTGCACCGGGACCCGCTTCACCTAGGCTCACGCTCCAGGCTTCGCAGCAGGCCCCACACCCTCCTACTCGTCACGGCGTCAGAATCGTCGAGACAACCGAGCATAGGTCGCACGCTTCAGCGCCATCCATTTTCGGGGCTGATTGATTCGGCAGGTGAGTTGTTACACACTCCTTAGCGGATTTCGACTTCCATGACCACCGTCCTGCTGTCTGTATCAATCAACACCCTTTGTGGTGTCTGGGTTAGCGCGCAGTTTGGCACCGTAGCTCAACTTTTGGTTCATCCTTCATCGCTAGTTCTGCTTACCAAAAATGGTCCACTTGGAGCTTTCGTTGATCCTCGGGGTTCGCTTAAGCAACCCCGAAATCTTACCTATTTAAAGTTTGAGAATAGGTCGAGGGTGTTTCACCCCCGAGGCCTCTAATCATTCGCTTTACCCGAGAAAACTGTTCAACAGCTCCAGCTATCCTGAGGGAAACTTCGGAGGGAACCAGCTACTAGAMGGTTCGATTAGTCTTTCGCCCCTATACCCAAGTCCGACGAACGATTTGCACGTCAGTATCGCTGAGAGCCTCCACCAGATTTTCCTCTGGCCTCGCCTTGCTCAGGCATAGTTCACCATCTTTCGGGTCCCAACGGGCATGCTCACACTCAAACCTCTCACAGCAGATCGTGGTTGGCGGACGGTTCACCCGCAGACGGTTCCCGCCACTAAGGTTTCTTCCGCCTCGTGGGCTAATCACCCACCGGCTCGCATGCACGTTGAACTCCTCGGTCCGTGTTTCAAGACGGGTAGGATAGATGAATTTCGCCAACATCCCGAACACGCAGGAACCCGAACAGGCCCGCCGAAAGAGACGCGTGCTCAAGGTCCTCGACTGCCGTGACGGCCACCCATGGGGGCTTTCAATCGCTCCCCACCGCAATGCCGGTCACAACACCCCATGTTGGAAGGCACCCCACGTCCAGCTACGGGGGCGACAACACAGTCGCCGTCCACCCCTGCCCAGACGGGAGCGCACGACTTCCCCTCCATCCACTTCTCACTGGACAATTTCAAGCACTATTTAACTATCTTTTCAAAGTTATTTTCATCCTTCCCTCACGGTACTTCTTCGCTATCGGTCCCTCGCACATATTTAGCCTTGGATGGGACTTACCACCCAATTGGGGCTGCATTCCCAAGCAACCCGACTCTTGGACAACACCTCGTTGCGCAGCAGGGTCCGGCGGTCGACGGGGCTGTCACCCTCTTCGTCGTCCGCTTCCAGGGAACCTGAACACGGTCCGCTGCAGAGGTTGCCTCTCAAGACTACAATTCAGGGAGCAACAGAGCCCCCGGATTTTCAGTCTGGGCTATTCCCGGTTCGCTCGCCGCTACCAAGGGAATCCTCGTTGGTTTCTCTTCCTCCGCTTAGTTATATGCTTAAATTGGGCGGGTGCCCCCGCCCGACCTGAGGTCAAAAGGCAAGGCCCGACGTACCTCCACAGCTCGAGGCCGAGACCCCTCAGCCCACCTCAAGGCGATGGGAGCAAACGGAAGGCGGCGACCCCACAAACCGAAGGGATGACCTTACGTGCCATTTTCAGGAAAACGAAGACCACCACCCACAAACGGGTGCCGGAGGGCAACAACAGGTGGAGTGAAATGCACCGCTCTGGGCTGCGGCCCGCATAGGCCCGCTCACAATGCTCTCCAATTCCCTTCCACTTTAGGCTATCGACGCTCTCCAAGTGGGAACCGAGGGAAGTCACGACCACGGACCCCACCACTCTCCGAAACGGAAGGTGCTGAGGTAGTGAGGAATCCAATGATACTCAGGCGGGCGTGCCCTCGGTAGAAGCCTTGGGCGCCACGTGCATCCAAGGTATCGATGGCTCACGGATTTCTGCAATTCACATTCAGTATCGCATTTCGCTGCGCTCTTCATCGTTGCGAGGGCCAAGATATTCGTTTGCCGAGAGTTCTACAATATAGTGTCGTTCCGACAGGACCGAACCCTCAACCAGAAAAGAAGGGGGCTGTCAACCCGGACAGCGTTTAGAGCAGGTACATCAATAAGAAGTTGCAAAGTCGTCGCCACCGCCCGCTGCCACGGGCGCGTCCGAACCCCCTTCCCACGCAGGGCACCGGGGAGCAGCGGGGCAACGAGGGTGCAAGCGCTGTCTCCTCCCCCCCCTTCTCGACAACGCCCCGTTCACGACCAAAACCCTCCCCCAACGGCCCTCCACCCCGAGATTCAGACCACCTCGACTGTGTCGAGGACGCCGATCTGTTCGGAAAGGAGAACCCCGTTGGGAAGGAAGCCAGGACAAAACGGGAAGGGAAGGGTCCGAGGACCCCGCAACACACCCCGCCCCTAGCCTCTACCACAACCCTCGATCCCCAAACAAGCCACAAGCTCCGCACGAGACCGAGGTTGAGGCCGGGATGGAAAGGAGGTCTCAACAAAGCTGAGACAGGAAGGAGCGGGGGTACGCAGGCCGAGGACGGCCGCCACCACCCGACATCCCACCCCTGACCCTCCCGCAGGGCTGTCCGTGCCCGGACCAACCGCCATCCCGACCAGAAGTCGAGAGAGGGACTGAGCCGAGGTAACAACCTGCAGAGGCGAGACAGGATGAAGGGGGAGCAACGCCACAAGGCCCCGGACCCTGCCCACTCCCCCCACCCTCGACCTACACCACGCCCCCCTCTGCGTTGGGCCAGCCGCCAGCAGGGCACTAAGCCCAAGGTGGTGCTGAAACGGAAGAGAGAAGCGGATGCTGAGAGGATGGGGGCAAAGGGCAGCAGAAGGGCGAGCAAGCCAGCGTCCCACACCCCGAAGATCGGTCGTTCACGTGTCAATGATCCTTCCGCAGGTTCACCTACGGAAACCTTGTTACGACTTCTCCTTCCTCTAAATGATAAGGTTCAATGAACTTCTCACAATACCCCCAGCGGCAAACCGCCGAGATCACCGCAATCCAGAAACTTCACCGGACCATTCAATTGGTAGGAGTGACGGGCGGTGTGTACAAAGGGCAGGGACGTAATCAGCGCGAGCTGATGACTCACATTTACTTAGCATTCCTCGTTCAAGATCGATAATTACAACAATCTATCCCCGTCATGATGAACCTTAAGAAGGTTACCCGGACCTTTCGACCCAAGCAAGCGACTCATTGGATTCATCATTGCAGCGTGCTAGCAGCCCAGAACATCTAAGGGCATCACATACCTGTTATTGCCTCAAACTTTCGTTGGCTAGTCGTCCAACAGTCCCTCTAAGAAGCTGGCCACGAGGAAAGGTCCCCGCGTAGCTATTTAGCAGGCCGAGGTCTCGTTCGTTAACGGAATTAACCAGATAAATCACTCCACCAACTAAGAACGGCCATGCACCACCACCCATAGAATCAAGAAAGAGCTCTCAATCAGTCAATCCTTCCTATGCCTGGACCTGGTGAGTTTCCCCGTGTTGAGTCAAATTAAGCCGCAGGCTCCACGCCTGGTGGTGCCCCTCCGTCAATTCCTTTAGGTTTCAGCCTTGCGACCATACTCCYCCCGGAACCCGTAAACTTTGATTTCTCACAAGGTGCTGGCAGAGTCATTCAATAGGCATCCGCCAATCCCTAATCGGCATCGTTTATGGTTGAGACTAGGATGGTATCTGATCGTCTTCGATCCCCCAACTTTCGTTCTTGATTAATGAGAACGTCCTTGGCAAATGCTTTCGCAGAAGTTCGTCATCCATAAATCCAAGAATTTCACCTCTGACAATGGAATACGAATGCCCCCAACCGTCTTTATTAATCATTACTCCAATCCCGAAGACCAGCGAAATAGGACCAGAGTCCTATCGCGTTATTCCATGCTAATATGTTTAGAGCACAGGCCTGCTTTGAACACTCTAATTTTTTCAAAGTAACAGCGCTGGCTCTGGATCCCAACCAATAAAGAAAAGGAACGCATACCCGACAAGAAAGGCGAAAGGGTCAGTACACGCCTGCAAGAGCAGACCAATCCCTCCCACCCAAAATCCAACTACGAGCTTTTTAACTGCAACAACTTAAGTATACGCTATTGGAGATGGAATTACCGCGGCTGCTGGCACCAGACTTTCCCTCCAATGGATCCTCGTTCAAGGAGTTTACGACTGTTCTCATTTCAATTACCGGACTCGAAAGAGCCCAATAATGTTATTTATTGTCATTACCTCCCTATGTCAGGATTGGGTAATTTACGCGCCTGCTGCCTTCCTTGGATGTGGTAGCCATCTCTCAGGCTCCCTCTCCGGAATCGAACTACCACGGTTATCCGAGTGGTAAGGAGACCACCAAATAAATGATATTCACAGTGCAAAGTGTTCACACTTAGACGTGCATGGCGTAGTCTTTGAGACAAACGTATGACTACTGGCAGGATCAACCAGGTAGAGGGTGTAACGAGCAGCTGCAAGGAGCGATGGTCGAGGCGCACGTAGGCACGTCAAGCCGGCCAGCCTACCAAAAGAACGTCTAACAATCGTGGAACGTGCAATGAGCTACCGAGACGCCGCGAAGTCCAGCTGTTTGAATTGCAGGTGAAATTCCCCTCCGTAGGCCATCTCCAACGGTAAGGTACCACACAATCCAACACAGCCCGCCGCACCCGCTCACAAGATTGGCTGCGAACAGCACCCGCCCACACCACACCCTCAGATCGCAAGATAACCACACTATCCGAACAACGGCGCGCGGGAAGGAACCACCGACCGCTTCGGCCCACAGTCGGATGCCACCGCCCGCCCAAAACGTACCGACAGCGAAGTGCACAGCCTCATCTCTCCATCGAGAATCGTGAGTGAAGAGTTTAACGAATGCACCACGGTTCCAACACGCCCGGACAGACCGAAAGCCTCCACCTGTGCACGGGGGCGCAAAAGGAACACACCCCCTGCCCCCTGGATCCACATGCGCCTGTTCCCGCAGGCACCACCAACAGAACTCGACGCAGGCAAAACCCAGGAGACAAAGGACAGTAGCCTTCAAAGCCCACAACCTAAATGCAGCGGAACCAGAACGCAACGTGATCCGTCACGGTGTGCAGCATACCGAGACCACAGGATGGGGGACACGACGGGCACAAGCGTGCATTCCAACAAGTCGGGCGGATGACGGGCCCAACCTCGCGACGCCGTCGGAGGGTGCATCACGCATCCCACAAGTCTCCGCCCTCGCATACGGTAAGCAGCGGGTGCAAGGCCGAGGCCACCTGCGCCACTGCTCAATAGCGCCGCTCGGGTGGCAAAGAGCGCAGAGCGCCCTCACCAAGTCGTGACACCCCCTCAACACAAACGGAACGTGTCGTGGTGAGTGCGGACACGAAGACGACACCACAACAAAGCCGCAACCGCTCTCCCCAAAACCTACAGCATGATGGTCCCGAAGTTGAGAGTCGGTGACGGGCATATCCGCCTCCACACCTTGCAAACGACCGCCAACCGGACCGCCGTCGGCGATCAGGCGCCAATCATCGCAAGACGATGAGCGAGGGTGAACGCAACGATCCACAACCCGACACCACAGCATAGGAAAGCCACGACAGCCGCGACCGCCGCTAGCAACGACCGAGCTGTCGTGAAATAAGCCCTCCGAGAGAGACAACCATGGACCTGCACGGCATGGCAAAAATGGATACAGCGGACCTGGAACAAGCCCACGTGGACAGGACTGAGGCAGGGGATCGGGAAACGGACCTCAGAACCTGGAATAGACCAGGCAAGATCCAAAGGCACCACCGGGCTGTGAAGCCGGTGGAAGAGGGACCCGAGGCCAGCTCTCGACAGCTGACGCCCAGAGTCCGTGGGACGGGTGAGAAGCAGAGCAGAGGGAAAAGGCATGTGTGAGAGGGCACTCAACAGGTCAACGAGAGGAGAAGCGGTGCGGGTGACCAGCGCACGATTTTTGGGTAGCTATGGTTGACCTCAACCACGGTCTCCTCTCGCTCAAGGCGTCTAGTGTCTGTTGAGCTGCGACGATCAATCAGTCACCGTATCACCTTCTTGTGCTTTTCGCCAGAGCGACCTGTTTAGGAGCACTCCTCTCTCGTTCGGTGCAAGTGCACGAGGTAAGTGAGTGGTCGGGACGCGCGCAGTGCATAGGCTACACGTGGCAACCCGGGGAGGCGAGAAGGGGGCCAGTGCGAGTGAGAGATAGCGTGGTGGTTGACGTTAAACGGGGAGCAATGACGCGCGTGTCACGCGAGCCTATGGCATTTGGCAGGAGTGCGAAAATAAAGGGGCTCGTGGAGAGCGGGATCGAGCATGAAGCTGTGATCCGTATACTCAGCCTGCATGCGGCACGATCATGGAAAGACAACAGCATCGACGCAGCATGCACGCGAGTGATGAGACGGACAGTGCCCAGTTCATGAATGCGAGAGAGGACGAGATGGAATGTGCTTGAAAAGCAGAACGAGAAAGAGAGAGGGAAGGTCAACACATGTCGGCGCATTGTGGAGAAACGGATAAGTGCGAGGTGGTTATGCTCAGGCACGGTCTACACATGAGCTGCACAAGAAGGGAGAGATCATGTGCATCGAAGTAGTCTGGCTGACGACAGCATTGGGCTTCTTGCCTTCGCTCAAGCAGAGAATGTTTAGATGTTTGCACTGATTTGAGAAACGTAACATGGACGCATTTAGTGGCGGTGTGCGTGACCTAAGTGGACGTTCTTACGCCTCTTCAAGCTTATCAAGAAATTATGGTCGCATTTAGTGACTAATGGTCGTTATTCGGTTGCCGTGAATGGCTCCTCGTTTTTGGCCGAATACAGTTTATCCCGAACCCTCTCTCGACCCGCTTTGTAGGTCAGTGCAAACTGAAATATTCAGAACAGAACATCAGAGAATTTTCAATATGGGTTATGTGCACATGTAGTTGGGTTCTTGCTGTGACATATGATGAAAAGTTAGTGAAGTAGCGAGGTGATGGTCGTCCGGTAGAGTGCTTCGCGAAGAGTCTCTAGGCGTGCATAGTTAAGATCAGCCCGGAATGAAACACTTATAAAAGAGGTGAAGTTGATTGGGTTTCCTTCTGATGGGCGTTTAGAGAGATTGAATATCCACTATACATACATATAAATATATATATATATACATATTATGTTTGAGGGGTGAGTAAGACAAGCCATAAAGGATCTCGCTGTGCACGGAGAATTATTTACGTAGATGATTGGATAATTTAGCTGGCGGCAATAATCCCTGTTTCCCTGACCAAAGTGAAAACTCTGAATACGTATAATCAACTTAATGTTCTGCAAGACTGAGGGAGTCACCTTTAATGGTTTATCTGAAGATGCTGGGTCGGTCTTGCACCTGGTAACTGATCGGATACTTGACAAGACAAAGGTGACGTGCTATGTTCACGATATAATACTAGATGGCGCGATCTCACGCGGTTTGATTGGTTCTAATTCGTTTCCTCTAAGTATGCGTGAATGTGAAGTCTTTATTTTCGCTCCAATTGGTGCGTACGCGTCTGCCCTTAAAAGGAATGAGACAACGCCAACTCGACAGAGTTAGCGGGTGAACTGAAAAGGCACTGGTTGCCAATGTGTTAGCTCTGATCCGGTGCCTCAACTATGGAAGTGCAATAACCGTGAAAACGTGGAAATGAGCAAAGCAACCTAATTGTATGGCCCAATGAGCAGAAAACGACAAGTCCTAAAGAAAATCATCTATCTATTGGTTAAATTTCTTCTGGATGGGGACTGAGTTGCACCCAGTCTTTACCCAGACTGTCCATTCCGCCCACATGACGAGGGCCGAGTGACAAGAAGAGTGCTGCATTTCCTCATACTTTGGGAACAGGGATGCATGCTAAATCTTTTCAACCCGAGTGGTGATTAGTTGATCCCTGGTTTTTCGCCTGCTAAATATAACGAATTTAGCGGGGAGCAGGGTTGTCGAGCCCCGGCCCCGGGGCCCCGGCGGGGTTCCGGGGTTCCGGGGGTGGGCACCCCCAACCCCGGCTCCAGACCCCCCCGCAAAAAAAA